AAATGAAGCAGGATAATATAACAAAGCATTTAGCATAAAATCCAGCAAAGTAGTAAACACTAAAACAAAAATTCAAACTCAGTGGCTATCATTGCCATCATAATTATTAAATATGACTTCAACAGATCTCCACAATAAATATGAGTGAAGATTCTTATATCTATTTCTGATAATCTCTTTTTTTTTTTTTTTAAAGATTTTATTTATTTATTTGACAGAGAGAGAGACAGCAAGAGCAGGAACCCAAGCAGGGGGAGTAGGAGAGGGAGAAGCAGGCTTCCCACTGAGCAGGGAGCCCGACCATGGGGCTCGATCCCAGGACCCTGGGACCATGACCTGAGCCGAAGGCAGACACTTAACGACTGAGCCACCCAGGTGCCCCTCTGATAATATCTTAATGTAAGCCCATGGGGTAATGCCAAAGCAAAATCCAGAATAGAGCATTTGTACAGGCGGCAAAAACAATGTAGAATAGATCAAAGGCTCTCTGATGATTTAACTTCACCCAAGGATATAATGTGGACCATCTAGAGGAACAGAGGATTTTTATGCCTTAGGGAAGCTCTCTCTGAAGACAGACTTTGCTCACTGTGGTCCACATCAAGCCCATCCAAAGGCCTCCGGTACCAAAGAGTGTGGGCCTTGTCTGCTGCAAGCCCAGGCCTTCACCTCCTAGATATGGTCAGCATCTAGCATTTAGTCACCACCCTCTATACACCTGACAGAGGAAAGTAGAAGTCAATGACATTAACTTCCTTGGACACTGTTATAGGTCGAATTGTAACCCCCCAAAAGATATGTTGAAGTCCTAACCCCCAGGACCTCAGAATGTATTCTTATTTGGAAATAGGGTCATTGCAGATGTAATTAATTACATTAAGATGAGGTCATTCTGGGCAGCACGTGGGTGGCTCAGATGGTTAAGCGTCTGCCTTCGGCTCAGGTCATGATCCCAGGATCCTGGGATCGAGCCCCACATCGGGCTCCTGGCTCAGCGAGGAGCCTGCTTCTCCCTCTCTCCCTGCTCATGCTTTCTCTCTCTCTCTGTATCTCTGTGTCTCAAATGAATAAATAAAATCTTAAAAAAAAAAAAAAAGATGAGGTCATTCTGGAGTAGGGTGAGCCCCTAATCCAATATGATTGGTGTCCTTATAAGACAGCACATGAGGGCGCCTGGGTGGCTCAGTCCTTAAGCGTCTGCCTTCGGCTCAGGTCATGATCCCGGGGTCCTGGGATCGAGCCCCGCATCGGGCTCCCTGCTCAGCAGGAAGCCTGCTTCTCCCTCTCCCACTCCCCCCTGCTTGTGTTCCCTCTCTCACTGTGTCTCTCTCCGTCAAATAAATAAATAAAATCTTAAAAAAAAAAAAAAAAGACAGCACGTGAAGACACAGACACACAGGGAGAACACAACGTGATGCTAAAGGCAGAGATTACAGTTAAGCCTAGGACTGCCAGGAAACCCCCAGAAGCTAGGAAGAGGCAAGGAAGGAGTCACCTACAGATTGCAGAGGGCTCCTGACCCTGCCAACACCTTGATTTTGGATTTCTGGCCTCAGAACTGTGAGACAACAAATTTCTATTATTTTAAGCCACCCAGTTTGTGGGACTTTGTTATGGCAGCCCTAGAAAATTAATACAGGTTCTTTCATTCTTTTCTACTATGCATCAATAGTAAGTAATAAGCAAACTGGTGATCTGCTGTCAAAATTCCAACATGGCCTAACTCAGCCGCTGGCTCCACTATGAGACAGCTTTCTGAGTGAAATGTTTCACAGGTTTCTTTTGGAGCTTTATTGCAAAATTTTGGATGGTGCCCAAAACACTGCATTCGACTTTTAACACAAACTGCTTTGCTGAGGGACGCTATTGTGGGATTAAAATTAATATCTAACAAGATGAATCAATGGAGGGATTTGCAAAGATGTTTCATCTTATCAATTAACATTCTCAGTGACTCTTCCAGGAAAAAGATAAGCTCAGGAAACTTGTTCCTGGTCGCCCTGCAGTAACCGTATTGATCAAATTCCAGGGCGTAAGGTACCATTATCCGTTCTGCGGAGGCAGGGGATTCTATCCCAGGAAGGCTTCTTGTGGCAGTAGGCAAAGGAAACAGGGAGGATGTAGGAAAGAATAACAAAAATGAATGGCTAGACATAGGCGTTAGAGCACTATCGATGAAATATTATTCAGTTATTAAATAATCAAGAAGCTAATAAATGTCAAAAGTTGGAATCCAATACACTGGAATACTGTAGGTCCACAATCCCCTCAGGAGCTTTCATGGCGTCATCTGAAGCTGACCCCTGTAGGCAGAGGGCACAGGAAGACTGAAGAGAAACAAGCCTCTCCTCGTCGGTAGGTGACAATTTTAACAATGGCAAAGGGAACTTACACACGAGGCTTGTCTTGAGTGGCAGCAAGACAAATTGATCCCTAGACTCATCCTTGAAATCTTAAAAGTTTATAAAGAGGTCCTAAATGGGCTCAGTCGTGTATGCCGTGCAGCTGTCTTCAACCCCACATCACCACCTCGAGGTGATCTTGGAGCAGGAACGATAAGCAGAACCCACGTTCCAGACGGGCGGGGGTGCGAAGCCTCTGACTGCCCAGGTCCAGCTCACTAGTCAGTCAGCGGTCACAGCTTTTTTGATGACAATCTCCAACAAATACTAATCAGCAATAAAAAGTCATGAAGGAACAAACTGCTGATATGCTCATAGCAACACGGATGAATTGCCAAAAATATAACACTTGGCGAAAAAAGCCAGACACACAAGAGTACATATTCTATGGTTCCACCGATAGGATGTTCTAGAACAGGCAAAACTAATCTGTGGTAATGACAATCAGAACAGTGGTTGTATTTCTAGGGTGGAGTGGAGAGCAGGGAGGGGACCGACCTGAAAGAGGCATAAGGGAACTTCCTGGAGCGAGGAAATGTTCTATCTTGATAGAGGAGTAGGTTACATGGTCCATAGGTTTGTCAAAACTCATCTACCAGTAACCTTAAGAGCAGTGCATTTCACTATATGTAAATTAAAATCTATTTAAAGGGGTGCCTGGGTGGCTCAGTCGGTTAAGCGTCTGCCTTCAGCTCAGGTCATGATCCTAGTGTCCTGGGATCAAGTCCCGCATCGGGCTCTCTGCTCAGCAGAAAGCCTGCTTCTCCCTCTCCCACCCCTCCTGCTTGTGTTCCCTCTCTTGCTGTGTCTCTCTCTGTCAAATAAATAAATAAAACCTTTAAAAAATAAAAAAAATTAAAAATATATATTTTAAAAATATTGTAAATATTTTTAGCTCTTAAAACATGTTTTCTTTTTAGAAATGTATCATATGGTCATTGTAGAGATTTGGAAAATTAAAAAAAAAGAAGAAGAAAATTAAAACACCCATAACTCCACCATCTAGAATAAATAATTTTAGTATGCCACAAAATGTAATATTAACGGGTTAGCAAAGCAAAGATTAGAGTGAATATATAACTGTTATTTATGCTTGTATTACTACTGTTTAAAAATCATTATACATGTGAGTAGGGTCTAAAATAAAATGATGGAAAACAACTGGGAATTACAATATTGTGACTATTGTATGTTTTTCCTACCCTTTAAAAATATCCTTTATCTGTCCAATAAGTAACAGTGATGTTGGAAAAGCAGGTACTAGGAGGAAAGATGAGAGCAACTGAGGTAATTTTCCTCGAATGAAGAGCACAGTAAAGGGTCACTAGGTTATAGGCTTCACATGTTGGAAGCCTGTGAGCTTGTTGCAGACAGGAAGACTGTCACATTAATTTTGAGTCCCCAGAGCCAAGTACCACATCTGGCACAAAGTTGGGACACTGTAAACATTTCTGAATAAACGTTCTCTGTGTCTGGAGAGAATCAAGAAGACAGGAATTTTAAAATAAAGCATGGAGATTTAGGGCAGATATAAGTAAGGTTTTGACTGTCACGGATGATAAAGAAAATTCTAGAATGTCTAATGTAAGACAATGTTAAGAGTATATTACTATTTGTTCAAGAGTGTTTACACCTCCATCTTCCTAGAGGAGGCCATTTAGAGCTGGAAGGATCTCCAGTTCCTCTCCAGGTATAAGATTCTATTTCTATTATTCCTTCCAAGAAGACCAGAGATCAAAATCACCTGTCTGTTCAGATACCTTATTTGGGTGGGAGAAGGAGAGCAGATGGCCAGCTTCAGGTAGAGCTTGTTTGCAGCTAAGAGGCTCAGCTTCCATCTCAACACTGAACTTTATAGAACTCCCAGAGGGATCCAATTCCCTGCCTGTCCCAAAGATCAGATAATCAAGCTCTGAGGAGTCCGGTCATGGCCAAAACAGGAGGCAGATGACAAGCCCATATGGCTAACAAACACCCTTCTTGATGAGCCTGAAATGATGTTACACCAAAATGTGGATGGCACTTGTCTCCCAATGGTAGGACCTGTGGGATTTTTAGTTTTTCCTTTTCATTTGCCTGGAATTTCTATAATGAACACGAAAGTACTCCCACAGAGAGAAAACTACAGCTTTTTTTAAAAGATTTATTTAAAGATTTCATTTATTTATGTGACAGAGAGATACACAGCGAGAGAGGGGAATACAAGCAGGGAGAGTGGGAGAGAGAGAAGCAGGCTTCCCACTGAGCAGGGAGCCCGATGTGGGGCTCGATCCCCGGACCCTGGGATCATGACCTGAGCCAGAGGCAGACGCTTAACGACTGAGCCACCCAGGTGCCCCCTACAACTTATTTTTGTATCTCCGGATGTTAGAAGGATTCCAAGGATTCTCTTTTTGAATTAATTTTCAGGGTCAAGTTACTGACCACCCCTGAAAGAAATTAAAAGGATGCCTGAAAAAAAACAAAACTGCCTTTTCATTTCCTCCTCTCTCCCCTCTATCAAGCAAACAATCCTCTGTAAAGTCAACAGTCCCTGAATACACATCCTGTACCTGTCCGTGGCTGGCACCAGGTAGGGCGAGGCACTCCCCAACTTACCATGGCCGTGACTCTCTCTATACCAGGATCAGAGTTCAGTCACCCGAGCAGAAGTTCCTCTGTGAAAAAAGCAGAGGGGAAATTACTGTGATGAGAGATGTGTCATTAAAATCATTAATCAGGATAACTTGTAGTTTGCAGAAGTTAAACCATTAGGAAATAACACCCACTGTCATCGAAAGGCCAGCTACTGATTAGCCAAAGATACAAAGGCCGGGTTAGTAATTAAAGAGAAACTGCTCAAGCAAACAAGTTTATTACTCCAACAAAACACTTTCCGACCTGCTCTTCTGTCTGGAGATACACATTACAGAAGTGGTTCCTATTGTTTGTTAGGATGAAGTACATTACTTGTAGTCAAGGCAAACCGGATTCCGAACAGTAAGCTCTAGTGGAACAGAACAGGTGCCTCCTCGGAGAGAAAAGATAATGCAGCCGTGTTAGGGAAAAGCACGGCACTGCAGCCCACTCTGTGTGTGCGTTTGTCTGTGCGCGTGTGTGAGGACGGCCGGCAGCCAGCCCACATTAGACTTGTCATTTCCAGACGACCGTTTTCACTGCCACCATCTCGGGATGTGCAGGTGCTTCTTCCCTCAAAGCTGTAGCCTTACACACTCAGCTTTGTCCTCCGTTCTGTGCAGCAAGGATGCTCGATCATTGCACATGTACTCAGTCACTCAGAATGCAAGGAATGACTTGACTCTGGGCTAGGACTCTTGGTCTCATGATTGACAGGCAGGCCTCTGAGGGACAGGCCAACTGACTTCCTATTTCCATATCTGAGTCCTATGGAAAAGGCTGCTTTCCTAAGCATTTTGTTAGCTCCTTGATACTCAAAAGAATCATCCTGGAGCCAGAAGCATGGGCATCCCCTGGGAGCAGTCTCAGACCCCACCCACCCACCCCAGACCTACTGCTAGAGTCTGCATTTTAACAAGATTCCCCCAATATTTGCCTGCACAGTACTTTGAAAAGCACTGGCCTAGGCCACCTTACCAAGCAGCACTTTTCAATTATACCCCGAGAATTACTAAATCCTCTCCACTTTATTACCGATTGAGTCAATCTGCTCACATTCACTTCATCTTTCAGCTCTCCTGAGGCTCAGCTCCATTCTTCCTTGTCTCCCATCACTGCAGACTTGCCTTATAACCACTTAGGGAGCTCAATTCTTTCCTGAGGGGAATGCCAACTTGTTCTGGGGCACAGTCTGAGCAAAGGTGGGAATAAGCAGTGGCTTCGGGGACAATGAGGAGACGAGGCTGCTGGGGGCAGAGGGCTCATTCCAGGGAAGGCTCAGAGATAGGGCTGGAAAAGCAGGTAGGGAACTGACAGGCAAGGCTTTGTATGCCCAGCTGAGGAGTGTGGCTTGATACTGTAGGTAATGGGAAAACAGTGGAAAAGTTTTGGTTTTTGCAGAGAAATGATAGAACAAAAGACATGCTTCCTTCCACAAGACCCTATTCTACAGAACAGAAAGGAGAGACAGGGTCAGGAAGGCTTGAGCAAGCACTGAGGAACAGACAGGCAGAGGCAGAGACCTAGGTGGGGTGTGGTGCCTGGAATAGGATATACATAGGAAATATTTGGAAGGAATTCTTTACTGGATTTAGTAGCTCATGGACTGTATGGATTTATTTACTCAATCACCCAATATTCATAAAGTACCTCTATATTCCAGACACTGTTCTAGTCGACAGAGATAATACAGTGAGTAAGACAAAGAACATGACTTCAAAGAGTTTACAGTCTACCAGGAAAGGCAGACAACAAATAAACAAATAAATAAATAAGATGATTTCAGATATCAGTAAGATGAAAGTACAACAGGACAATGCTATTGAACACAGATCAGCAAACTACAGCTCATGGGCCAAATCCTGTTTTTTGAATGGCCTACAAGTTAAGAATGGTTTTTATATTTTCTTTTTTTTTTTAATTTTTTTTTTTAAAGATTTTATTTATTTGACAGAGAGAGACACAGCGAGAGCAGGAACACAAGCAGGGGGAGTGGGAGAGGGAGAAGCAGGCTTCCCGCAGAGCAGGGAGACCGATGCGGGGCTTGATCCCAGGACCCTGAGATCATGACCTGAGCCGAAGGCAGGCGCTTAACGACTGAGCCACCCAGGCGCCCCATGGTTTTTATATTTTCAATGGTTGGCAAAAAGTCAAAAGAATAATATTTTGTGACACATGAACGTTATATAAAATTCAAATCTCAGTGTTCATAAATAGACTCACTGGAGCTTGGTTATACCCGTTTGTTTACATATTATCTACAGCTGCTTTCATGCTACAACAGTAGAACTGAACGGCTGTGACGGACTATATGGCTCACAAAGCTGAAGATATTTTTTTTTTTTTAAAGATTTTATTTATTTATTCATGAGAGACAGAGAGAGAGACAGAGGCAGAGGGAGAAGCAGGCTCCCCGCGGAGCAGGGAGCCCGATGCGGGGCTCGATCCCAGGACCCTGGGATCATGACCTGAGCTGAAGGCAGACGCTTAACCGACTGAGCCACCCAGGTGTCCCAAAGCTGAAGATATTTAATATCTGGCCCTTCACAGACAAAATTTGCTGAATCCTGGGTTGGAAGATGATGTGATCAGGTCACTGGGAAGGGGCTAGCCTGGACAGGGTGGCAAGAAGACGTCTGAGCTAAGACCTGAATGGGGAGAGAGGCTAGCTATTCAGTGCTGGAGGAGAACTACTGAAGGCAGAAGGAACAGTTAATGCAAAGGCCCTGAGACAGCAATGAACTTACTGTGTTTGAGGAATGAACAACTGCATCATGAACAAGGGCCAGAGTGGCATGAATTGGGGTTGGAGTAGGGTCAAGACTATCTGTGGGAGCAGGAAGGGGTATTTCTTGTTTGTCCAGAATGTGCTAGGGGAAGCCAAGAGCAGGGCTCTTTGAGACTTAGCCATGACTTTGTCTGGAGGCCCTTTTCACATCATATGAATGATCAAAATGCGCCAATATCCCTCATTAAGTATAATTTATATGTGAGTTGGATTGAGTTTCTGCTAATTGGTAGACAATCTAGCAGACCCAGTTTAAGGAACAAGGGCCCTCCCTTTGTTTCTATATAGTTTTGGAATATGGTAATCCTCCCTTATCTGTGTTTTTGGGCAACGGCAATCCAGAAGCAGGTGATTCTCCTTCTGACATCAGGTCAATGGTAGCCTAATGCTACTTCACAACACCTACATCATTCACCTCACTTCATCTCATCACACAGACATTTTATCAGCTCATATCATCACAAGAAGAAGGGTAACTACAGGGGCGCCTGGGTGGCTCAGTCAGTTAAGCACCTGCCTTCGGCTCAGGTCATGATCCCAGGGTCCTGGGCTCCTTGCTCAGTGGGGAGCCTGCTTCTCCCTTTCCCTCTGCCCCTCCCCCCGTTTGTGCTCTCTCACTTGCTCTCTCTCAAGTAAATAAATAAAATCTTTAAAAAAAAAAGGGTAACCACAGTACAATAAGATATTTTGAGAGACGACATTCATATAACTTTTATTATATCATTAGAATTGTTTTATTTTATTAGTTCTTGTTGTTAATCTCTTACTCTGCCTAAGTTATAAATTAAACTTGATCATAGGCATGTATGTATAGAGAAAAACAGCATAAATAGGGTTCCATACTACCTACAGTTTCAGGCATCTGTTGGGGCTCTTGGAACATATACCCCATGGATAAGGGGGAGTTGCTGTAGATGACAACAAGGAGGCAGGGAAGAGAACCACGTCTTCCAAAAGCCAGCCTTTAACATAAATACTTCCAATCCTTTTGACCACATCAAGAAGTGGAAAAAAATGCTTGCACAAAACCTTCTGGAAATACTGAGAATCTTATTCAATGAGCTAGAAATAATTTACTAAAGGGAAAAAAATGTATCATACTTGAACACACGGTGCTTTTAGCCAATTATTTTGAAACTTGGACAGCACACAGCTTTAGTCCATTTACATAGAGACAGCTGTTGTATATTTGTTATTTACTAGCACCAAGCAAGTTTCTCAATAGATTATAGAAATGAAGGCAGGAAATGGTACCCCTTGATCAGATATCAGATAACACATGTAAAGTTGACCCACGCTCACGCTTACTGGCACAGTGTCTGGCACCTAGTAAGGTGTCAGGAACTCTCGGCAAGGATGGGTGGGGAGTGGAAAGGAGGGGAAGGAATCACTCGGACCACCCCCTGGAACAGAACTGTCACAGGAAGGCATTGGTGGTTCAGTGATAGAATTCTCGCCTCCCAGAATTGCCACAGGCCTCTTCTTAACTGCACAAAATGATCGGCTCCCAAAGAATGCCATGCCCTTCTTCTGGAAGCTCAACCTCTAAAAGTCCTCCCACATTCTCCTCCAGCCTGAAGAGCCAAGGATTCTTTATAGGAACCCTTCTCTGCCGCAGCTTCCTTGATCCATTCATTCTTTCTCTCTGAAGGCCAGCCTACAAGTCCATAAACCAAACAGTATCCCCAGGTTCATAATGACTCAGGCTTTGTGTGGGGGTTTCCAAAGCTTCTTGGCTGCTCACAGGTGGGGCAAAATAATTAGCAACTGTGCCTCAGTTTTAGGAAAAAGGCAAACCCACTCAGGTTTGGGCACGGCTCCAATGACCGTAAAAGCATCAAGGGCTCTTCAAGATGGGAAGATGAAGACGGAAGGGCCCATATGTGAGTGATGTCTAAAAAACTCTAAGGGTTATGCAGTCTGGAGTCGGGGTGGGGGGGGGGGGGACTGCAACTTCTTTATCATACCTGAACTCTACAACTAGGGCTCACAATAGGGCTCCTGAAAATGTTAAGACACGGTTTTAGAGCAAGAAAGAAAGCTGGGAACACAACATAAGAGACATATCCCAAGAGCAGTTACATAGGGAATACTGATAAATAAGTTCAACTTATTGCAGGAAAGATTACAAAAATTTGCACAAGTAATTAATGATGGCTTCATAAAAAAAATTAGATGTCGAGAACAGATCGATACTGTTTTCTGCTTAGGTGTACAAGAAGATCATTTTTTCACCGTCCCACAAACTGCCCT